ATGGTCAGAGACTGTGGACATGGTGCAAGAGATGGTCAGAGACTGTTGGCATGGTACAGGAGATGGTCAGAGACTGTGGACATAGTACAAGAGATGGTCAGAGACTGTGGACATAGTACAAGAGATGGTCAGAGACTGTGGGCATGATGCAAGAGATGGTCAGAGACTGTTGACATGGTACAGGAGATGGTCAGAGACTGTGGACATGGTACAAAAGATGGTCAGAGACTGTGGACATGGTACAAAAGATGGTAAGAAACTGTGGACATGGTACAAAAGATGGTCAGAGACTGTAGACATGGTGCAGGAGATGGTCAGAGACTGTGGACATGGTATATGAGATGGTATACTGTGGAGTACAAAAGATGGTCAGAGACTGTGGACATGGTACAAAAGATGGTCAGAGACTGTGGACATGGTACAAAAGATGGTCAGAGACTGTTGACATGGTGCAGGAGATGGTCAGAGACTGTGGACATGGTACAAAAGATGGTCAGAGACTGTAGACATGGTGCAGGAGATGGTCATAGACATGGCATAGAAAATGGTCAGAGACTGTGGACATAGATACAGGGGATGATCAGAGACTGTGGACATGATACAAGAGATGGGCAGAGACTGTGTACATGGTACAGGACAGGAAATGGTCAGAGACTGCAGGTGTGACGCAAGAGATGGTCAGAGACTGTTGACAGGATACGGGAGAGGATCAGAGACTGCAGGCATCATACAAGAGATGATTAGAGACTTTGAACAAGGTACAAGAGATGGTTAGAGACTGCTGGCGTGATGCAAGAGATGGTCAGAGACTATGGGCATGATACAAGAGACACACGCTGCATGAGACTGTCAGAGACTGTGAAGGGATACAGGAGTTGTTGAAGACTGAGAACATGCTTCCAGAGAGTCATAGACTGGAGACACAATAAATGAGAGTTCGTGATCACGACTATAATAGGGCAGTAGGGAAACACAGATTAGTATCTGCAGGGGTCTCAAAGGTTGCACAAAAAGTTCCAAAGGGCCACATGACTGTTCCTGGGTCACAGCTTATGCACCAAGGATCTACAGGGTAGAAGAGAAGCTCATTGTGAGAAAGCCATTGCTCCAGGATCCATCCAGTGCTGGTCATGTGGCCAAATGCCAGGGCATCATCCATACAATCTCAGGAAAGGGGGAAGATTCGGAGGACTGGCCTGCTCTGCCAGATTTTCACTCCCATAAGTCCCTCCTGCTGAAATCACACCACCGTGGCATCAGTGTGTGTATACAGGGCCCTACATATATTCAGAAGACCCAGCTTGTGCAGAGGACGAATTTTGTAAAGCTAGTGGTATGTCCCACCAGTGACCGTGGCAGTTCCCACTAGTGACAATGGTGTGTAGGACCAGTGACAGTGGTATGTTCCACCAGTGACCGTGGCAGATCCCACCAGAGTGGTGTGTCCCACCAGTGACAGTGGTATGTTCCACTGTTGGCATTGGTATGTCCCACTAGTGACAATGGTGTGTCCCACCAGTGACAATGGTATGTTCCACTGTTGGCATTGGTATATCCCACTAGTGACTGTGGTATGTCCCACCTCCCCGTGGGGCCCTTCTAATGCCAATTTTTTTCTGTATGTGCTAGAGACAGTCTTGTATAATAGTTCTGGGTGGTCGGCCTTCAGTCATGTGAGGAATTTTACTTGAAATGGACAATTGAAGGTCCACAATAAAGTGGATTTCTTGAGCCACCTTTTTCATAGACAAGCAAGAACAAACCATACAGTTTTTCTGCCACATATAACATTTTGTTCCAAGACCAAAAAATTCCATTTTGGTGTCATCTGACATGGACAGGAATCCATACCCACGGAGAGATGGAAAATCCAGGTGATTGCACAAGTGTTCCTGGAGGTCGAGAGGCAGTAGAGGTTACTAGTGGAGGAGCTTAACGAGCCAGACGACCAAGGAGTGTACTGGAGGCTGGGGGGAGACACAAGGGTGTTTTGGAGTCCTAGTGGCACACAGGGGTGAACTTGGAGATGGGGGTGCTCAGGGGCATACTTCGAATCATGGAAGTTAACTTGCAGTCATGTGGGTGCACTGAAGACACAGGAGTGCAAGGAGGTGGCTGGAGACTCAGGAGTGCAGAAGGGTCCTTGGAGACAGGCATTGACCACCACTGGTGTTGACATAATAATAGTACTTAATCATAATAAATGAGGCGGAGCTCTATCTGACCTGCCGCAGCTTCTAATGCACATTGTGAGGAGCTCACAGTGTGCAGTGAAATCAGAGTAAGCCATTTAAGTCCAGGAGAGGAGCCGGTACAACTGTGCGAGACTGGAGGGAAGACTGGAGGTCAAATTTAACGAGTAATACGTGTGAAAATGAGGCCCAGATGAAAGAGTTGTCCCCAGGACTGCGACTCTTACACCACCTCTGGAAGAAGCTGCACCACATTTTGATGATGCTGGAGTTCAGCTTTCGTAATTTTAACAAAACCAAAACTACCTGCTGGCTAAGAATTTGAACCGACCATCTCCTGGACTCTACGTTTATCTGTGCACCTTGGTGCGAACCATCTGGAGTGGCTACTGTGAGACTACTACTGGGTACGAGCTTGAACTGACCATCTCCTGGACTCTACGTGTATCTGTGCAACCTTGGTGCAAAGCATCTGGAGTGGCTACTGTGAGACTGCTGCTGGCTACAAGTTTGATCTGACCATCTCCTGGACTTTACGTGCATCTGTGCAGCCTTGCTGTGAACCATCTGGAGTGGCTACTGTGAGACTACTACTGGCTAAGAGCTTGAACTGACCATCTCCTGGACGCTACATGTATCTGTGCAACCTTGGTGCGAACCATCTGGATTGGCCACTGTGAGACCGCTGTTGGCTACAAGTTTGAGCTGACGATCTCCTGGACTTTATGCGTATCTGTGCAGCTTTGCTGTGAACCATCTGGAGTGGCTACTGTCAGACTACTACTGGCTATGAGCTTGAACTGACCATTTCCTGGACTCTACATGTATCTTTGCAACCTTGGTGCAAACCATCTGGAGTTGCCACTGTGAGACCGCTGTTGGCTACCAGCTTGAACTGACCATCTCCTGGACTTTACATGTATCTGTACAACCTTGGTGCAAACCATCTGGAGTGGCCACTGTGAGACCGCTGTTGGCTACTAGTTTGAACTGACCACCTCCTGGACTCTACGTGTATCTTTGCAACCTTGGTGCAAACCATCTGGAGTGGCTACTGTCAGACTACTACTGGCTACGAACTTGAACTGACCATCTCCTGAACTCTATGTTTATCTGTGCAACCTTGGTGCAAACCATCTGGAGTGGCCACTGTGAGACTGCTGTCGGCTACCAGCTTGAACTGACCATCTCCTGGACTTTAGGTGTATCTGTGCAAAACCTTGGTGCAAACCATCTGGAGTGGCTACTGTGAGACTGCTGCTGGCTACAAGTTTGATCTGACCATCTCCTGGACTTTACGTGCATCTGTGCAGCCTTGCTGTGAACCATCTGGAGTGGCTACTGTGAGACTACTACTGGCTATGAGCTTGAACTGACCATCTCCTGGACTCTCTGTGTATCTTTGCAACCTTGGTGCGAACCATCTGGATTGGCCACTGTGAGACCGCTGTTGGCTACAAGTTTGAACTTACCATCTCCTGGACTTTACGTGCATCTGTGCAGCCTTGCTGTAAACCATCTGGAGTGGCTGCTGTGAGACTGCTACTGGCTAAGAGCTTGAACTGACCATCTCCTGGACCCTACGTTTATCTGTGCAACCTTGCTGTGTACCATCTGGATTGGCCACTGTGAGACCGCTGTTGGCTACAAGTTTGATCTGACCATCTCCTGGACTTTGTGTGTATCTGTGCATCCTTGCTGTGAACCAGAGTGGCCACTGTGGGAACCTCAGATATGTAAATCCATTGTGGAAACCTCTGCCTGTGGCTGGCTCGCCAAGCAGAAAACTAAAGAGGAGCTGTAATGCAATGTGAGCATGGAAGAGGAAAGACCCAAGGGAACTGCATTATAATAACGGATTGCAAGTCATCATAAAGATAATGGGATGCCATTGTCATCGGATATTTACCTCTCAGTTTTCATTTACTGGCGACTTGTAGAGGAGAACGAGCTCCTAATTCCTTATTGTCCACGTCTGGCCTGAGCAAACCAGAGCTCAGCAGGCGGATGGAAGCACTAAATCAGCGGGGAGAGAGATTAATCGCCCATATGTCACCATGCCAAGCCGCCGATGATTCTCATTCAGACAGATAACTAACTCTCCATCTCATTCACTTATCCCAACAAGCCAGGCAGTGCACAGATAATCGTATTAATCTTCCCCGAGCCATTAGATCACAATCACAGGGCCGGCGGAAGGAGGGAGAGTCAGAGGACAATCCATCACTTCACAAATAGCCTTCATCGGTCACTGCACACCCAACCCAATCATCGGGGCCACTGGGCCTGTTCAGTACGGGCAGAAACAACACCTCCTGCGTTCTAGGACTCAAACCGGGGTGGAAGAGTCGAAGGAACCTCGAAACAATTCCACCAGTGCATGGAAGGTTGTGCAGCTCTAGAACAAGGCTGGGGAAGCCTGACCGATAGTTTTGCTTCACTTCCCTGTTTAACACGGGTCCAAATTAATATCTATAAATGGGCTGCTCTGGGCAATTAATCTGCTCACCTTCACCTCGCTTCAACCGAAAGTATTCCAGAGACCTCTATAGGGAATGATTGCTTAAACTCATTAGACTTTTCTCAAGCTTTTAGCCAGAACAGAAACGTTTTGAAAGAATTTGGGTATACGCGGCAATGTTCCTTACATTGGAGGTCAGTGGGAAGAATGTCCCTTACATTGGTGGTCAGTGGGAAGATTGTCCCTTACATTGTGGTCAGTGGGAAGAATGTTCCTTACATTGGGGGTCAGTGGGAAGAATGTCCCTTACATTGGGGTCAGTGGGAAGAATGTCCCTTACATTGGAGGTCAGTGGGAAGAATGCCCCTTACATTGGGGGTCACTGGGAAGAATGTCCCTTACATTGGTGATCAGTGAGAAGAATGTCCCTTACATTGGTGGTCAGTGGGAAGAATGTTCCTTACATTGGTGGTCAGTGGGAAGAATGTCCCTTACATTGGAGGTCAGTGGGAAGAATGTCCTTACATTGGTGATCAGTGAGAAGAATGTCCCTTACATTGGGGTCAGTGGGAAGAATGTCCCTTACATTGGTGATCAGTGAGAAGAAACCCCTTACATTGGGGTCAGTGGGGAAGAATGTCCCTTACATTGGAGGTCAGTGGGAAGAATGCCCCTTACATTGGGGGTCACTGGGAAGAATGTCCCTTACATTGGGGGTCAGTGGGAAGAATGTCCCTTACATTGGGGGTCAGTGGGAAGAATGCTCCTTACATTGGGGGTCAGTGGGAAGAATGTCCCTTACATTGGTGATCAGTGAGAAGAATGTCCCTTACATTGGGGTCAGTGGGAAGAATGTCCCTTACATTGGGGGTCATTGGGAAGAATGTTCCTTACATTGGTGGTCAGTGGGAAGAATGTCCCATACATTGGAGGTCAGTGGGAAGAATGTCCCTTACATTGGGGGTCAGTGGGAAGAATGTCCCTTACATTGGTGATCAGTGAGAAGAATGTCCCTTACATTGGGGTCAGTGGGAAGAATGTCCCTTACATTGGGGGTCACTGGGAAGAATGTCCCTTACATTGGGGGTCAGTGGGAAGAATGTCCCTTATATTTGGGGGTCAGTGGGAAGAATGCTCCTTACATTGGTGATCAGTGGGAAGAATGTCCCTTACATTGGGGATCAGTGAGAAGAACGTCCCTTACATTGGTGGTCAGTGGGAAGAATGCTCCTTACATTGGTGATCAGTGAGAAGAATGTATGTCCCTTACATTGGGGGTCAGTGGGAAGAATGTCCCTTACATTGGTGGTCACTGGGAAGAATGTCCCTTACATTGGTGGTCACTAAGAAGAATGCTTTCTACATTGGTGGTCATTGGGAAGAATTAAATTGATACAATGGTGGTCAGAATGCTTGGTGTTATACTCTTAGTTCTACAAAGTGGCATTGGGCCTGGAGCCATGGATCCCCCTATAAGATGGGAGGTCTATTATCTACAGCTCAAGGAACCCACGAACAACCTCTGGAGGAACCCTGGGCTAAGAATTCCCCTTTTGGACACGACTAGAAAATGGGAGTTTCAATACTGTGTGACTTCCACACCTCCTGGATGTGTCCTCCTTTTTTACTTACGGTTTTGTAACTGTATATTGATTTTTTTCCTCCTATTAGGAGTCTTCAGGGCTCACATCTTTTGTTTTTTCTCCAATGACACGTTCCTTTTCCTCTCTCAACATGCAATCCTATTATTGTATGTGGTGTTATCTGACATTACAGAATGGAACCTGAAATGCTTTCAGCGAGAATGTTGCATTTGACATATTTTTCTTGTTTCCAGTTATTCTTTGGTTTTCAACAATCTTTAATGCTGCGCACTTGGATCATGCAGGATAGTAAAATGTGTATGCCGATTATGTATTATCTGGAGCTCCTGTTTGGTATATTGTGTAGTACATAAAGTGTAAAAGAATATAAAGCCGCCTTGCTCAACCTTCTCAACACAGAGGAATCCCCCCTTAAAATAATTTCCCAATCTCAGGATCCCCCCTTGCTGAAAATGACTCCATCTACAACTCATGACACATTAGTGGGCAGAATGCTCCTTACACTTGTGGTCATTGGGAAGAATTCCCCCCTTACAGATCGCTAAAACCATCATTGGTGTCATTGGGAACTTATCTGGGATTAGATATTGCTCATAGCTCAAGGAACCCCTAACAACCTCTGGAGGAACCCTTATGTTGCATGGAACCCTAGTTGAGGACCCCTGATATACAGAATTAATTTATCCATGTCTCCATGTGAGAAAGGTCTGTTAATAAATTATACTTTTACTTTTAAAGGCACCCAGGGTTAAGATTTAAACCAATCTTTTTCACATGCACAGAACATCTGAAGAAATCTTTGTAAATACTCTATGTATATAGTTACATGGAGTTAGTCTGGCTGTAAAAAAGACAAAATCCCCCCTTCAGCCATAAAAAAAAAAGTTATAATCCTACACCCACAGTTGATCCAGAGGAAGGAAAAAAAAACCCCAGCAAAGCACGATCCAATCCTCCTGCAGGGGAAACAATTATTCATTTCCTGATCCCCCGAGAGGCAATCGGATATTCCCTGGATCAACTTTACCTATAAATTTTAGTATCCAGTTATATTCTGTGTATCCAAGAAAGAATCCAGGACTTTCCTACAGCTGAATCCACTGATCTGTTTGTTGCCCTTCTCAGACTTTCTCCAGTTCCCCAATGTTCTTTTTGTGGATTGGTGCCCAAATGAGCTGCATATTTTCACAGCTCTCACTAAATATGAGAAACCTTTCTGTGTGTGGAGGTTACATTACATTTTTGTGTGATGTCTGTTTAACATTTTTGTGACATGGCTCCTTCTCTCTTTATTCCATCCGCAGAACATTCCAACCCTGGGCAGCGTGGCTATTACGATGGCACTTCACAACTGTGATGAAGTAGCTGTGGCTGGCTTTGGGTACGACATGAACCTCCCTAACGCCCCTTTGCATTACTACGAGACGATCAAGATGGCTGCCATTAAAGAGGTAACAAGAGACGTGCTTGACATTGGAGACATCTCCTGTACTTTTTGGCCCATGTATTGCAGCCCTGAGGCAGGTGGTGGTAAAGGAGAGCTCCTTAGCTGACTTTTCTGATAAAACTTCCATAAAACACAGGGACCTCAGGGACCTATCTGTAAAATTTGGGAAATGGGTTTTGTCACAGAGTTCGATGGACTCACTTTGTCACCAGGGACAACAGATGACTAAGAAGTAGGACAGGTGTGGTGTAAGTCCACAGACAGATGGTCAGAGCAAACAGTAAGTCAAGCTAATGGTCAGATCAGGTGCAAACAAACCGATCCAAGAGAGTCCAAATGGGCAGAGAGCAGATTGATAAAAGCAGAGATAACATGCTGACAGTCAGCAGAAGCACAGACAGTCTGAGTACAAGTGCAATCCAGATGGTTTACAGGAAACATCCAAGGCATCAACAGTCAGGCAGAACTGAATGCAGGGTATGAGCAGCCAGACGAACCTGTTCATCAGGCATAGGCTGAATGCCCAGCAGTCTACCTAAGCTCCTCTGATTAGGGCAAGTGTGTACTGCAAAGATTTAAGCTTCAATGATGAGTAAGGACTGGCAGATAGTGAAGGCTGATTGTTACATATCATCGTCCAGAACAGTACATGAGAAAGTGTAGCTCTGCCCACCTAAAACAAGAAGAAAAAGCTCAGAAAATGCCTAATTTCTTCATGTTTCCCTTGGGCGTGCAGGAACAACATTGGAACATCGGTATACAAGGCCTCTCTGCTGGTTGCAAGGGCCTCCCATGCTATCCAGCTCAGATTCTACCCTAGGGTTAGAGAATCTGGCTGGCTTGGATAGGTGGGATTAGAGACCTCTTTTGGATGTCCTGGGAGATTTGTAATATTAACTTCCGCTCCCCTCCTCTCTTTATGGAGTGTCCTTACTGCCCTGTGATTTTTTTTTTTCCTTGACCACCCTAAAAGGGGCAACCATTCTTACAGGCTTAGTGGTATTAGTTGTTCCCCTCTAAGAAGAAATGGCCAACCTGCCCTTGTGCTAGCTTGACTTCAGAGGCCAGTGGAAGAGACATCTCGCAGGGATGTTAAGCTGGAATTGAGCAGCAGTTCTACAAGGGTAGTCCGAAAAGTTCACGGCCTGACAAAGAAGAAGTGACCACACAGATATGAAACTTTATCACTGCACAAAGCCACTCTTCCTGATGTTCAGTGATGCAAATGGCGCATGCGCACTGTGTGGATTACAAACCGCTGGCAACCCCCCTGTAGTCAAGTTGAAAATGGAAAAAATGGCGGAAGAAGGCTCAAAGTGTTCCATCAGTGGGCAAAGTGGTGGCAACAGTCCTCCGAGGATGTCCAGCAGCAGTACAGAAGACTGTTGCTATCAGTTTGCCCGCTGATGGAACACTCTGAGCCTTCTACCACTTTTTCCATTTTCAACTTGACTACGGGGCTGCCAAGTGTTTGCAAACAATGCATTAAAACCATATGGCGCTCATGCGGCATTTTTATTTTCAGCGCTGAACATCTGGAAGAATGGCTTAGTGCACTGATACAGTTATATATCTGTGTGGTCACTCCTTCCATGTCGGGCCGCAAACTTTTCAGACTACCCTTGACCCATATGATGCAACCAGTGTGCCCATCTAGTGATGGCTCCATTTGTGCACTACTAAGAGGACTGAACTATTCCCGGTAGATCTAGGGTATGAGTGAATGCATTGCTGGCCTGAAAGACTGGGAACATGCCACATGTCTTGAATAGATTTCTGCTTACTTCCTGTTCTAATGACTACACCGGAAAGTAGGGTCATTTTCTATAAGAGGACACAGCAATAAAATGTTGGCAAAGATTCTAATGCAGGCCATAGATGGGGAGAAAAACTGCAGATTTTTCTTTTAAAAAAACGAAAAATCGGTTGTTCAAGTGGCCGACGTTACCATCAATGGTAAAAAAAAATCGGCCGATTTTCTACCCGTCTAGAGCCGGCAAAAAGTGTCCCTGCAGAGAGCTCTGCTATTTCTTTGACAGTTCTCTGACAGTTCCTTGACATTTATAGAAGTTGCAACAATGTATCTATTTGTTTCCATTTAGGATACAGATGTTTTTATTCGGAAACAAATAGATACAATGTTTCAACCGCTGTAAATGTCAAGGAACTGTCAGAGAACTGTCAGAAATAGCGGAGCTCTCTGCAGAGACACTTTTTGCTGGACTGGAATTCTTCTTATTTTCATCCTACTTCTTCTTCTTTTTCTTCTGCTTCATCCTCATCCTCATCCTCATCTTCTTCTTCTTCTTCTTCTTTCATCCTCATCCTCTTCTTCTTCTTCTTCTTCTTCTTCTTCTTCTTCCTCATCCTCATCCTCTTCTTCATCCTCATCCTCTTCTTCATCCTCATCCTCTTCTTCATCCTCATCCTCTTCTTCATCCTCATCCTCTTCCTCATCCTCTTCCTCATCCTCTTCTCATCCTCATCCTCTTCATCCTCATCCTCTTCCTCTTCTTCTTTTTCTTCTTTTTGTCTTCCTCTTGCAGGTCACTGCTCATGCGCAGATTTTTTATCGGTAAAAAATCGGCCGATTTGCCCACTAATTGCCGCGAAAATCGGCCGATCGGCAAAATCGGCCGATTTTTTTCCAACTTTACCGAAAAAAAAAAAAACGGCCAAAATACCGAAAAACGGCCGACCAAATCGCC